GCTTAGGGCTTTTAGGGTTCAGGGACCAATTTCGCACACGTACGCCCACGGTGTGTCCGCCGCATTAAAAGATAGATAGGTGAGTAGGTGGGTAGTTAGATAGCTAGATAGCTAGATAGGTGGACAGATAGGTAGACAGAGAGGTTGATAGGTAGATAGGTAGGTTCATATAGATAGATAGACCTTGCACCTGGAACCCTATACCCAAACTAAGAAACGGCAAAACAGGAGGAACTGACGGCAGTGGTGATGCTGGACCCCCTGCTGCTTGACCTGTTGGGTTTGGGTGTTGGAACAAATTGCGCAGGTTCGTGTTCCAAGGCTTTTATGTCGCCCTTATCCATACCATAGTCATTAAGCATGACATACATGCATGCATACATACAAGCAGACAGACATACATAGATATGTGCAAAACTCCGTTTACTTACGGTTGTGTTTGCAGGCATACACATGTTTTCTTCATATGTATGTCCAGCAATCTTTCTGTGCTTGTGACGGTTTGGCGGCGGGCAAAGCGTCTTCGGATCAGTAGACTTATGAAGTACTTAAAGTTTCATGGGACTTAGTAATTAGGGTTATAACTAACTATACTTATAACCCCAAGTAGGGGACTTATAACCTTACTTACTAAGTCCCCTGATCCTTTAAGTAGGCTCAGCCCGTAGTTATGGCACTGGAAGCTCCGCTCACCCGAAACTTTACAGCTTGGGCCGTTTAGCGCCCTGGGGTAACCCTAAACCCTAAAACCCAAACTCCTGAACCCTAAAACCCAAACTCCTAAACCTTAAAACCCCGAAGCCCTAAACCCTGAACCCAACACCCTGAAACGCTAAAACCCTAAACCCTAAACCCTGAAACCTTAAGCCCTCAACTCGAAACCCGAAGTTGAATTGTGAGTTGCGAGTTTCGGGGAGGAACGGGGAGGCCAATGGGTCAGAGCTGTCTTCTTGAGCCTCAGGGCCATCAGTTCAGTATGAGGGATTTATAAGGGATCTATAGAAGGGCTCCTTAACGGGATCTAGAAGGGATCTATAGAAGGGCTCCTCAAAGGGATCTATGAAAGGGCTCCTTAATGGGATCTATAAGGGATCTTTGTCAGGGTTCCGTTAAAGGGACATGTTTGGATCTGTAGCAGGGTTCCTCTAGTGGGGTCCATTCGGGATCCATGTAGGGGTTCCTGTAAAGAGATCTATAAGTGAACTATATAAAGGCTCCTTTAAAGAGATCCATATATACATATACATATACATATATATATATATATATATATATATTATACATATATATATATATATATATATTACACATATATATATATATATACACATACATTCATACATATACATATATATGTGTATATATATATGTGGAGGGGTCCTTT